TTTTTTTTTTTTTTGCCTTATCTTTTCCTTCAGTCTGGATTAGAAGAGTCACAGGAATCCCAGCCCAGATCTCTGAGGTTGCAAACTAGTGGTGCTTTAAGAAACTTTGGTTTGAAATTTAATTTGCCTTTTGGGATTCCTTTTAATGCATCTGAAGTTCTGTATAATATGCAATGAAAGGCTGACTTACCCTGTATTCAAAACTGATAACTATTGTTGGCATCAGTACTTATCAATTCTTGGAACTGAAGTGTAACTTAATTTCAATAAGAAGGTGGTGCTATGTCTGTATATCCAAGGTTTTTATTACTATCAAGCTATAAAAGAAAATTGATAAGTATTTGGCTTTGAAAGTCATAGTAGTTCTATCAATACTTTCTAGGTGTATGTGATAAATATTAAATACTTTATATGTTATTTCTTTCATTAATATGTTTGCCTGCAGTAAAAAATAATAGATAAAAAAACTGGAAGACGATCTATAACTTAGATGAACACAGTTATTTAACTGAGATGGTCTTTATTCATGCTTGTCCCTGTTTATGGCTCGCTTTGCACAGGAAGGAGTTGCAGGAGCTGCAGAACCTATACAAACAGAACAGTGCACACACAGCACAGCAAGCGGAGCTGATCCAGCAGCTCCAGGTTCTGAACATGGACACACAGAAAGTACTGAGGAATCAGGAAGACGTCCACACAGCCGAAAGCATATCATATCAAAAAGTATGCTTCTATTCTGTCATAAAAATGTAAATTTATATGGATGCACTTATACAAATATATAGAATTCAATTTTTTTCAGATTTCAACATTTCTTTATTACTACTCCCTTTTATATATGTTTCTTCAAAATTAAAAATGAAATACAGCTCAATTTGGTAATATTTAAAATTTTGTGACTTTTCTATATGGCTGTTAAAGTTGAAACATTTAAAATATAGATGCAAATTTACTCTGTAGGATATTGTTTTTATAAATTGGAATTTCGATATCTACTATGAAACATACTGTGACTGTAGCCCCCAAACCAGAAAGGATTTGGGGAATGGAATTTCTCAGCCTTCTATTATGAGAAATCACTCCTCTGTTATGATTATAGTTTATGACCTAAAGCAGTCTTTCATTATAGAATTGTGCATTGTTTCATTGGCAAATCTGCACAGACACAAATGGGTATGCTGAGGAAGGCTTCAGAGTCAGTATTTTCCAAGGATGTTTCTCTTTTTTGTCTGCTTCTTTTAAGTAGTCATTTTACTTTACAGTTGTTTTAGGAACCACTTAAGAAGGCTTACCCAGCTATTTAGGCATGCTGACTGACTCAGCAACAATAATTATGGCTAGTAATTAAAAAAACCACCTTTATTGAATTCTTTATGTTTTGTGTAGTGTACCAAGTTATTTATAGAAATAATTTGGTTTCTGTATAGGTCAATCTCATAAGATTGATTTTATTCCTTTTTAATAGTTGAGGCAGCCAAGGCTTAGAGTGGTTAAATAGTGCAATCTGTGTTGTTGTTTTCTATTTAACTCCCTCTTCTAAAAAAGGACCATGAAAATCCAATACCTATAATTAACATTTTTATGTTAGTAGTAATAGTAAATAACTATTAAGTAAACGTTAAGCACTTATTTTTAAATAATGCTTTGGAACAGTGGTTTTCAATCTGTATTCTGTGTTCCTCTAGAGTTTCCCTCAGGACGCAGATGATAACGAGGGAAGGGTAGCGCCTGTTCTCTCCACTTAGAATAGAGCCGCTTCCTCTTTTTGTTCTGTATGGTGGGATTGCCTATTTTGCTTTTGCCTCCAAACCAGGCTCCATTGCTAAAATGACTTGGAGAATTGGATCTTATTAGTAACTTTAATTTTTTCATCCTTTTCACTTGTGTATTTACCTCAAATATTTTTTTCTTTCTTAATTTTTGCTTAAAAGCCCCCCACCCATGGCAATTTATATTCAAATACATGTTGAAGGTTGCTTGGTAATAACCTCATATCCCTTTTCTCTTATATGCTAATACTTCTTTTACTCTTTCTACTTTCAGCAAGAAAGAACTTAGTAAAGAGGAAAAAAGCAGTGTTTCCTTGGCTATTTCATTTTTCAATCTTGTGTTCTAAGAATTTTTTTTAGTTGCTTGACTAAAAATTTAACACAAAATGTTTCAGCCTTAATTCTACTTTTTGGCTGATTTTCTTTAGCAATCCCTACATAGAGCAGCCATCTCTTTTATAACCTACTTGAGAACTTTTGTAGATTCTGAATCATTTCACACAATTGAATACTTAAACATTTTAAATTAAAATAATTATTACCAAAGTATTAGATGCTTGTGATAAATTCTTAAATAATACAGAAGTGTATGAAATAAAAATATAAAGTATTCTGCCTGCCTACCTGAAGCCCTTGCCCCAGAAGTAACCACTCTTAATATTTGAATGTATCTGAGAATTTCTCTAGGAGAACAGAATATTTTAAAATTATTTTCTTTGTTAATTATACAAACATTACAAGAATACATTATTATAAGAAACAGAAATAATAGTATAGAAGTCCTGATACTGCTAGTCTAACAGACTCGAATACCCTTCCACTCACCCCAATTCATTTCATCTGTCCCCAGGGATAATCATCTGAGTAGTCATTCCAGACCCTTTTCATGCATTAGATGTGTGTGTACATACACACATAATCACAAATCGAGGCATGTTATAATTTTAATATTTATTAACTTACACTGACTGTTCTTTAACTTGTCTTTAACTTGTTCTTTAACTTGTCTTTGACTGTTCTTTAACTTGTTCTTTAACATTTTCAAAAATGTGCATTGGATGTATTTCCACGACAATACATAGAGTTCTGGCTCTCCTCCTGCTCCTCTTTGTCCTCCAGCATGAACATATATAGTGTGGATTTATAATTTGATGATTATTATGGTCTTCCTCTCCAACTTTTTGTTGTTACCAACTTTCTCATAGAAGGAATTGTTCCCCATCTCTTCTATAGCATCATTTCCTTACTGGACCATTCCTAACCACAGATAAACAGGCTGTTATGTCTCTGATCTGGGGAAAAGAACAAAACAAACAATAAAAAAACATGTATTGACCCCCACTATATATATATTCCTTCCTTCTCTTCCTTTTCCTTTTCCAGCAGTATTCCTTGAAAACCTTAAGTTTTCTTGACGTTCACCTCTCTTGTTCTCTCTTGAACCAACTCAAGTTTTTACCCCTTTCATTCACTCTTCTAAAATTTCTCCTCTCAGAATTACTTGTGACCACCACATTGCTCAATTCAGTGATCATATATCAATCCTCATTTAATATATCAGCAACATAGGTCTTAGTTGATGACTCACTATTCCTTGAAATACCTTCTTTCCCCCACCCCCTCTCCTGACTTGTAGTGCACTACGGTTGTATAGTTTTCTTCCTTCAATTCTAGCTGTTCCTTTTCTGTTTCTTTCACATCTTTTCCTAGTCTCCATGTTGTCTAAATGTTAAAATGTCCCAGGCCCTAATTATAGGATGTTTTTTTTTCCTGTGTTTAAATTCACACCCTAGGTGATTTTATCCAGTCACCTAGGCTTTCAGAATCATAATTGTCCATATGATGACTCCCACATTTGATTATCTACTCTGGATGTCTTGT